ATGTCTTGTAGGATATCATGAATAGCCATGGATCTTTGAAAGGTATTTAAGCTGTAGTAATAGTGTTCCCGAGGGAAAAGACTTACTGGGAAGCTGCAGCTGAAGCAGGTGGACACCCAGTAACAGCAGTTCAGCTGGTAGGTACCATCACCATGGACAGAAGGCGGGTGAAATACTATAGGTGTATACACTGTGGAAAGTTTCCTGTATTTGCATCAAACTTCAACCAAGGATCTATATTGCTTCGGTTTCTGCAACGGAAAGGCTTCTGGATATGGAAAGTAAAGGAAAGCCTTATTTCTTCCCTTTCTTTGAATCCCTATATAGCCTCATATGGAGAGAATGTTTGCATATTGATTATACTTTTTATTATCATACAAATCCATGTATTTCTGAGCTCTCTGGGCTTCCCAAGATGAATTTCCTATTCTTTCACATAACGGAAAGACTATGAAATAACATTCAGATGCCTGTTTAAAAAGAAATGGTATTTCTTCCAGTTTGTTGGTGACCTGAGTAATGTTCACGATTTGCTCTCTAAGCAGGGCCAGGCTCGCTCCAGGCATCCTGGGCCCTCTCGTGGCTGTTTTGGAGAGGACACAAAGTACTTTAAAGAAGTTCTCACTTTCAGAAAACTTCAGGATATGTTCTCTTTGGACCCTCCAGATCTCAGATATTTTCATTGAAAACTGCTATGAACCGCAACATTTAGTTTCAGATCCAAATTGGCTTGGGATTTAGGGGTATTTTGATTTTTATTTTTTTCCTGCTTCAAGCTAATCTCCAATAAAAGGCTACTTCACTTCTAATCTTTTTTCCCCCATCAAAACAGTTCAATATTTTAAAACTCAAGTCTCTAAGGATGGTGTACGATTTGGTTTCTTTACAGATGTGGGGCCCTGCTGCCCTCCAAAGAGCCCCAGGGACCTTGCAGACACAAATGCCTTCCCATAGGTAATGGATGCACCCTATATAATCACTTTGGTTTGCTTTTTGATACATGGGACTAAAAGCAGATGAAGCATAAATTTTCTCATGACAAAAATTGCTTGCAATTATCCTATACGGCAGTTGATTTATAGAGAGGTCTAAGGGAAAAAAAAAAATCATTAAGCCTATTAAAAAAAAAAGAAATTAGATAAGCAGATGGTTTTAAGTGACAATACACCTGAAGAGGTTACAAAAAACAGAGAGACTACCTAAAAAGATCATCAAGAAACCAAATTGTTTAGTCAAGGTTAATGAAAGTTAGGATATAGTGGCAAATGCATGAGGGAACAGATCAGATTAAGTGAGCAATTATGGAGATAAAGATCGTAAAATGCTGGTTATTTCAGTCTTGTAAGAATCCCTTGGTTTTAGCATGATCTTAAATTGTCTTTAAAATGCTTGTCATGCATTTTGCATAAGGAATGTTTCAATCAGACTTTGAACAGAATGGCTTGAAAGTAAAAGATAAGAAAATCCACCTGAAGCTGACACTTGGTTTATGATCAGGTTACTGCATTACAGCCATATTTGTTAGGGAAGGGCACTCGTTAAGCTAATGTTTTGGGGTAGAGCAAGAAAAAGCTGCATTTCCCCACAAAAAATGTACTACTCCTGGAGCATTTCCAGAAATGGAAAGAGGACAGGCTAACACTTTCACTATTTGCCACTATTATTTTATTATAATCAATTCTGTGATTCTGTGAAACCATTGTTGTTCATACCAGCTAAATTTTGATGGGAGATAATTTCTTGTTAATTATGTAAGACATACAGTTAAAAGATTTTCATTGTAAGCAGTAAACGCCAGTATTTTCTGAACCTGACAACATACTCTAGAACAGCACAGTTACCACTGAAAGAGGTTATAGGTAAATGAGCCACTTCTATGTGAACTTGACTGAAACGGATTCTTGCCCTTTTTTCTGCCTATTCTCCTTTATTAGAAATGCTTTAGTCAAATGGTTGTGTATTATTTTATTGCATCATAGAAGCTGATTCAATTAAGATACTGTGGCATCTCAGATTTCATTTTTATAATCTATTATGTATTAACTTGCTGAAGGTCTATTACTGACCTTGGCTTCTAAATTGCAATAGAAGAAAAGGAGGTGTCCAGTAGTAAACACATCCCCCATTGCACACTAACTCCTGTGGGAGTATTTAATAACCGTTGAGCTTATGACTAAAACTTTTAAGTTTAAAAAAACCCAAACAAAACCCAAAAACCCCAGCAACTTACTGCTGCAGATGCTCGAGTTGCTGCACTACAGTAGGGCTCAGCGCCAATAGTACACAAACCTGTCTGGACGAGGTCAGATGCAGGCTTTGGGTTAGGCTCTCTTTCCACTCTCAGATGCTAATCTTGGGAACAGTCTTACTCTCAATAGCAGGCACTATTGGTAAAGGAAAAGGGTTAAACTTTTAAAAGAGCATTTTCTATCGGATGCTGTTGGAAGGAGTCTGATTTTTATTCTGAAGTGAAAAAATCCAGCTGTTGCATACAGATGTCATCAAGAACAACGTATTTGGAGCAACCAGCTCCTGGACACAATAATGGCAAGACCAAAAAATGCCAAAAGGCATGTTTCTCTCAGTCTAAGAAACTGTCTTAGAGCCAGTTACTCTAGTTTGCAATTCCAGTGTGCTCAAGGCAATGCTGGAGTAAGCAAACAACTTCCAAACTGATTTAACAATTAAGAAAAAAAAGGAAAAACAAACCACAAGTTTGTTCTGCTTAAACACTTCAGAGGAAATAACTACTTTAAGGTAGATGCAAGTTCACCTGTTTTCCTGCATGGAAGTTGGTATCTACAGCTTCATTTCCAGGTGGCCATAGAGGACATCTTAGTCAAAGCAACAATTTTTTACTTTCTGGAAGTTATTTGATGAAGCAAGACAGAGTTCAATACATGCATTTAATCCCTCCCTTTCCCATCACCATGAAATATGCTAAGAAAGGGGAGCTAGTTCATCTTAGCACAGTTATAGAACAGATTCTATGAATAAAGGAGCTTTTAGTTAAATATTAAAAATAAAATCACATACTGCTTTCTGCTCTACTTAAAATTTTAGGGAGGATGAACCTCGAGGTGCTCAAAACCATTACATAGAAGTCCTGTCTTTCCATTACCTTTTCTTCCTAGACTTACGCTGGCTGGAAAAAAGTTCTGGATACTTCAGTTTTTCTTTGGCAGATCTCTCTAGAGTATTTATTCCGCAGTAATATTTCAAAACTGACTGTAGAAAAAACAAAATATCCTAGGTGACCCTTCTGCAGTCTTACATTCTTAAATTCCCCATATATTAATCTTCCAAGTACCATTTATGATGAGTCATTAAGATATTTTCCATTTCAGACATTTAAATATTTCAAGATCCAGAAGTTGGCTGGTATAAGATTTGAGTGCTTAAATTACCTCCTTCCACTCACTCCATTTATCCAGCATAGCAGATTGGTGCCTGCAAATCCTTTCACCTTTCCTAAAGGAACGTCTCCATTTGAACTGAGGAGGGTACTAGAGAACGCAACTGCTGCTGCACTGCAACGTGAGCTGTTAAAATTGCAAACTTATCTATAATGTATTTCGATTAGGAAATGACCTATGTCAGGCTGGTGGTGGTTTGAGAAGAAAAAAAAAAGTGTCCTCAGGGAACTGGGAGGTTCTGGCAGTGCTTGCAGCAGAATCGCAGAACAGTTGAGGCTGGAATTTCTGAGTACCTGAAAAACTCTACCTAATGCAGTCAGAGAAGAACACCCAGGTCAGGACCAGCGACGGCAGTAGCCAAAACAAAGATGTAAGAGACAGCTCATTTACCCTGAATACAACTGCAGGATTCCCAATCAAAAAAAGAATATCTTACAACAGGAACTGTGGCTGCTAAGAGAATTAAGCAGACATACTGAAAACCAGGGACAAGTTGTTCTTTCTTTTTTCTAGACACAGACAATGCTTAAGCCTCCAAATCGTCCATCTCAGCTTTGCTTTTGCAGTAAGGAGAATGGCTGGAAAGGATCAAAGGCTAAACTTACAGACATACTTTTGCAATTCTCAAGAAATTTACCTTTTTTTTTTTTTTAGAGCCTACAGGCAGGGTAACTTGCTAAGTTTATACACTGAATACAAAAAAAAATCTGTTCTTACGTTTCACCAAAGTGAAGCTCTGTCGCAAAAGAGAAGACTAGAAGACTTACCTGGAATAACAAGGTGCTCTTTAAGCAAAATGTATTCTTTATACCAGGCTAAATCAAGTCAGTTAAAAAAGCAAAAAAAAAAATTTTTTTTATCTGCAAGAAAATGTTTATTCTTTGTAAACCCCACAGAAAAAAAGAATGCAGCCAAGACCAAATATTGAACGAAATTTGTGCCAAAGTAGGCAGCAAAATGGGGGAACCTCAACACAAAAAGTCAGTGACAGTATTTCATGTTTTGCACAAAGATGAAAAACCTATGACATTTCTGAGTAACACTTTTATGGTGACAATTACACAAGATGATTCAAAAATGCAAATGACAGCAACATGCACACCTGGCTAAAGCTAGAAGTTTTATCCCAAAAGAATATCTGTGATTAAAATGATGAAACTTTAATGTTTCTATTGACTTGTGTGTCCTATTTTATTTTTTTTAATGAGGCATACATGCCAATTAACATGAAACTTTTTAAAAAAAATTATTTTCATTTAAGAAGAACTTTGTCCTTCCAGAGTCCACTGCATGTTAGCAAAATCATAATGTTGGGTTTGTAATTCTGCTAGTTTCCAGTACAATTTTGCTTCCCACCCCTCCAATCCCGACCCTCAAAAAAATCTGAAACACTTCAGAAGTTGCCAGTGCAAGCACTGTCTATCAATGTATAATATACATTTTAACTTAAACCTTTGTGCAATTTATGACTTTTCTTTAAAACTCCTTAAAAACTCCTTGGCACAACAGCTGAAAAGTGTTCAGCTCCATTTAAATTGTCAAACACAAGGTGATATAGAGTGTAAATCACAGTTGAATAAAATAAAAAAAACCCAGAACTGCAGCTTTTATTAGCCAGCTTTACAGTCTCTTGTATACAGTACATTGCACAGTTCCGCCTTCACAATAACGCTTCCTGCATTAATATTGTGCCTTCCACGATGCAGTATAATCAAGGCAAGTTACAGAACACTGCTGAGTTTATATCAAAATAAACAGAAGATGTAACCTTACTTTATAATGAACATCCAAATTACCATGTACAATTTGCAGTAGACTCTGTAATGAGCTTGATATATAAGCTAGATGACAGTGAAGGGGGAAAAAATAGTTTAAACTATCAAGTTTCCTCTTGAAATGTCTTTTCCCAAGGCACTGTGAACAAGACTGTTACCAATTCTCAATGACTAAAAACACCAATGGGAATATAAATATTTCATACAACAACCACCGTCACATCATCATCTATTCTCTTATTCTTTCCCTTAAACAACGCCCCTGAAATTTGTTTGGTCCTTTGAGGGGTAATCAAATTATCTTCTGCAACATCACATATTTGCATTTAATACATCTATAAATCAAAGCTTTGTTAGATTATTTAACCCTTTCACTGTAAAAATTAAAGGTTTTTCCTCACTATTTCTGAATGTATCTGCAAATTCAACTTGATTATTAAAAAAAAAAAAGAAGAAAGGGTTCAAAATCAAGCAAAGCCCTGTATTTTTCAAGAGGAAACCATGCAAGAGTACATAAAAAGGCAAAATTGGCTACTTGAAAACCAAGAATTGTTTTTAATGCATTGGCCAAGGAAAATAAATTGCGAAGTTCTGTGAGGTTTTCTAAAAATTTACAAGAAAAACTGATGGGCAGTTCTAGTCAATCCAGATGTTCTTTTATCCTGTTTTAAATGACAACAAATACAGTCTCACACAATACAATTTCATCTTGACTGCAAGAGACACTCCTGTGTGATGCCTTCAGCATGACAAAATTACTGGGCAAAAAGAAAATTGGCATTCATTTCTTCAAGGGCTGATAAACAGAGGCATTGGGATCAAGTCCAGAAGGGCTGGTCTCCACAAATTTAGAAGAGTAATGTGGGGAAACAGGACTCAGAGTGCTGGTGGCTGCAGTGTATGTTATGCTGGGCATTACTGCCATAACTTCTGCAATCTTCTGTTTTAGGTCCTTGATTTCCTGATCTTTTTGAATGATTTGCCCTGAAAACAGCAAATAACATCACTTAGAACCAGCAGCATGTTTTTACCCTCCAGCAACTGTTCAATGGTAAGAGCTGTTGAACACCCAGAAGACATTCAGTGCCGTAACAAGATATCAGTAAAAGCAGAACTGAAGGTAACTCCTGCTTCGTGTTGAGGAACTACGTTTAATTACCTCTAGTTCCCGTGTAACACAACCAGACACAGCACTTCCATCACGTTTTGCATTGTTTGGATTCACAGCTGCACCGTACCAAAAGGCTATTTCTATGGCTCAACTTTTTTCTGCACTTTTCCGTTCATATTTTACAAACATCTCACAGGACCACAAGTGTTTGCTTATTAAATGTGTTCTCTATTTTATTTTCAACACTGTCCTATTCTCATCATTTTTCTAAGCCCCCTTTCTGCACACTCACAACATCACTACAGGAATTCAGGAAACTACGTAAAGAGAAACACCAATGAAACGGAACAAAAACAAGTTTCTCACTCTGACTAAATTTTCCTACAACCAAGCAAACTTCTGCAAGGAAATTAAACAGGTACTAAATCAGAAGGTTATTTAATTTTGCTTCACGGTTTGCACAGATGAACAAAGGACAGTCTGGGCAGGGTTTTATACTGGCTTCATGCTCCCTCTGGTGGCTGCAACACCAGCCCTACACGGACCCCAGGGTCCACGCTTCCCTCACCAGTGTGAAGTTTAAAACAGGTTGGGTTATTTCCCTCCCCCCATATTTAGGTTGTATTAACTTCAGGAGTATCAAAATATTATTAGGATTCAAGGACAGGGGCTTAATAGACAGCAACTATTATTTTATCTTCTAGCTCTACAAAAGTTGTTCTACAGCTTTAAGGTAATGGTTTCTAAAAATGCAGAAAATCATCATAAATTAACTTAAATGCCCGTCTTGATGTTTACTGTCTTCAGTTTAATAGCTTGGGGAATTTAGGTCAGCTCATCAGCTAGAGTGCTTAGGCTCAACATTCACAAAGCTGTAAAAGACAAAAACCCAGTAAAAGCTGAAATGCTGTGTGGGAACTGTAGCCCACCCCTAAATAAAAAGGTAGGATATTCTTTCTGTCATATTTGCACTAATTCAGTCAATACTACGTGTTGAATTAAACTATCCCACATTACCTTGGGCAATCTCAAGCTGCCGTTTTGCATCTCCTAATGCAGAGAACAGATCCAGCTTGATTCTTGTCTCTGCACTCAGGCTGTTCTCTAAGTGCTGTGTTTTATCCTGCATGGCTGAAAGTGCTGACATTAACACCTCCGTATCCTTCTCATTTTCCTTGTACTTGCGCAGTTCCTGTAGGAGTAATTAGGACAAGTGTTATTCTCATCGACTTTACACATGAGATACAGTGGGAAGTCTTTTTCTTCCCCACAGCACACCACTGGGCCTGGTATTAATACTGTAAAATTAAAATGATGGTTAATTAAGGACATTGTAATATTACCTCCAGTAATTATACATGACCATCATACAAGTGATTAAAGCCATATTGTACAATGCATAATTACAGCACAGTGAGTAAGTACCATTTACTCTGCTTCTCAGCCCTCTATCATCCGTACCGAGACCCTCCACCCAGAAATCCTCCTCAGCACTTCCAAGTGCCAGCTAAGCAGCTGCACAGTACTCTCAGTCAAGCTGTGGAACATGAAAACACTTCCCACGAGCAAAATGGCTAGAATGGGGACTGATCTCTTGCTAGACAGTTTAAAGTGATACTAAACAAGCATTTCAGGCTATTTCAATTGGCTGATGAGAGGGATTACTTTACCTCAGAATTTCTTTATCTCCCACATTGAGTGGGAGACTGTGCTGCAAACTCAGCAATTTAGAAAAGAGAAAAAAGAGAGGGAGCAAGTATTCTGTGCATAAATGACAGGCACATTGTGCCTGGGAAGGATGCATTAACATTTTGACTAAGATAAAAAGAAATACTATACACACACAAAAGTTCTATACTTTTAAATGAAGAAACAATAATAGAACAGGAGAAATATTAATGCCTGTAACAAAAAGCTTCTCTAACAGTTTGAAGATGGTAATAAAATTAAAAAGCTTGATTATAGCTGGTTTTAATTATTTGAAAGCCATGCTTATACTCTCCATGGATAAACCACACTTGTTTTCAAGGGTTTGGTGAAACCAGGAACAAAGCTGCATATGTTATTTGGAAACAAGTTCACAATAATACCAGGTGGATTTTGAAGAGTGTCTAAAAAAAGCCACAAGACATTAAAAATACATATTCATGCAAATCATCAGTTGACAGTCCGAGTACATCTTTAGGAACAGACATTTTAAAGGAATAAGGTCAACTTTAACTCACACATTTGAGCTCTTAAACTCTAACATGCTAGACAATGTCTGCTACAAGTCTACCACAATGTACTTTCAATATTCAAGCACTTTCACAAAAAAAGAAAAAAAAATACATCTGGCTAATATTAAGACTGCATTGAGTAAGCAATCTTACTTGCTAGCAGTGAAATTTATAACGATACAGACTGGCAACAAGCTCCCCACATTAGACATTGTTGAGGGGATTATATTCTCAGTATACCCAGACCATTGGTTGGGGGGAAAAATTCTCATAATTTAAACAATTGAGTGGTGTGCAGCTGAGACTATTAACCTTTCTCATACCCAGGTTCTTACAAAGCCTGATGCAAGACAAGCAAGACAGCCATCTGAAGAGCATAATTCTTGAAGGTGTTGATTGTGTCTTATGTAGATTGACCAATTTCAGAGGGCTGAAAGCACTCATTGTGATGCTGATCTAAGCCTCTGGTGCTTTCTCATTACCTGAACTTTCATTTCTAGTTCTCGTATCTGATCTTCTTTCAGCTTTATGTCAATTGTAAGCTTCTTGCACTCTGTCTCCAGCTCTCGGATACGATTTCTTAAAGTTTCAGTACATTCTCCTCTGCAAAAAACAACATTAAAAGAGAAGATGATGAAATAAGAATGAGGCTGTCATTCCTGAACTGTTTATAACACAAAAATTAATATAAATATTGAAGGATAAAAAGAGGAAGCTATCCTTGTTCTTTTCAGCAAAAGAATTTCCTTTATGGCAACAATGCAAAAAGTTACTCAATGTTATGCCTTAAGTATTAGGAATTTGGAATATTTATGAAACATGAAGAACAGAAAAGCAGAAATAATTCTCTTTAGACATCTGGAGCACTGCAGATTAAAGTCATCCATCTTGCTAAACTTCCCATCTATACACCTATGTTACTGCTGAAACATCACTGTGCTGAGCCCTGGTAGTCATTAGCTAGAGCAGAAAACCTTCAAGATGCGAGATCAAGACAGTATTTTGGCCAACATCGTTGCATGAATCCTTGATTCACGGTCCCCACATGAATGGGGATGTTCCATTTTTTAGAGCAGACTGACCCATGCAGGGTACAACATCTCTCTGTTAGCACAATCAAGGTACAGCAGATGAATATGCACTAAATTATCTTTTACACCCTGTAAATGTAACGTATACGTGTACTGAGAGTCAGCTTCACGGAAGGAGATCTCCCAGTCCTCCCACTGCCTTAACATAAACAAACTTCTTAACACAAATAAAACTTTAAAAAAATGAAATACAGACTACTTCTTTATGTACTGAAGAGTGAAAAATGCCTCCCTAAATACCCCCCAAAGACATTTCAGTACCAACAGCTACATTTCAGTAACTTCCTGGAGCTGAGCTTCCTTCTGGGGTAGAACAAAATACCTTGTAGCAGCAGCAAATGCGACAGCACGTGCAGCAGTTGCTTCTTCCAACTTCTTTCTTTTCTTTTCTTCCATTAATTGTTTTTCTACAAAGGCTCGTGCCTCCTGCTCTGCCTTTAGTTTCTTCTCCAACTGGCTGATCATTTGTTTGTCTTTTTGTTTCATTTGTACAGCATTGTGTAATCTGGAAGGTAACAGGTATGGGATTTAATGGAGGATTTTACTTACTAAAAATAAATTGCTGTTAATGGTCCCAGGTGAGTTTTGCTGGATTTGCAGACAAGTGCCTCAAATTTTGTAGAGTCTTAACATAACACTTCCCCTTTACCACACTACAGTCATCAGCGCCTAACTTACACGGCTGTGTAGAAACACATACTTGTTCTGCAGCAGTTCATTTTCTTGCCGGAGTTGTCCAATTTCAGATCGAATTCCCCGCTCTATGTTAGTCAGAGAACTGATCTGACTACGAAGCTCCTGTTCGATCTGCCTGCTTGCTTGCAGGTCAGCCTTTAACTTTTTAATATCTTGTTCCAACCTAAGAAACACAATTTTAAAAAACAATTTCAACTTTATTTCCCAGTTACCCAAAGGTTCAAGCACATTATATAAAAATAAGCAGAGTAACCATCATACCATCTGCCAACCGCTCCAACACCTTGATTCTTAAAATAGTAAACTCTCAGAAATTATGTCTATCCTTGCTAAATAATGTTTTATAGAACTATACATATATAGATCTATGGATAGCTATACACACACTTCATAACTTCCCACAGCAATTTTGTTTTCCTCCATGCTCTGCAGAGTTGTAAAACAAATCCTATGGAATTATGTTTTTCACTTCAAGCAGAAGAGAAATAGATAAGTCTGAGAAGTTGTAAACAAGGACAGGTGCACATACGAACAAATTTTACTTTTCTCAGCAAATTACAAGTTTCATTTGTTAGTTATAGCTAAGCTATGGAGGCTACTGCTGAATTCTCACTTAAACATTTTTTTCTTGAAGTACATGATGTGCACGTTGAATAAAGAGTACGTGTTAAGTCATCCACAGTTCAGGAGTCACTAAATTTACTTTTAATTGCTCCTGTACAGAGACCATCTGCTATACACTTAGTTGTAGCTTGAAGACTCATGCAAGCATATTAATTAAAATATTTTAAACCAAAATTGGTTAAATAAAACACAAATATCTAAAGAGAGGCCCCCAGCTCACCTTAATTTTTTCCCCCACAGTTGCAAAATAAGATTATTGGCTCTTAGAATAAATTCACATCACAGGTGAATAATCAACCATATTTTACGAGCACTGTGTTACAGAACTTATTTAAAGCAAATATGCCTCTCTGTCATTCACACATAATCCTCATTTGCGCTGTCAGTTATTGATTTAAAAGTTTTTAGATGTTCATAAAGAAGATAAAGATGTTTTTATTTCCTGAAGTTCCATACAGAATTAGTGGTAGTTGAACATTAAGACTTAGGGAAAGTAGTCACAAAAGCCAAAATGAACTGTCCTTACTGACATTCACTAGCACAGACGAACAGTTATAGCTTTTTGTCCTCATAATGAAAATACATAGCTCTTTTGGGCTTCAGTGCAGGGAAATCTCAACCTAAAATGCTAGTGAGAGATGTAACGATACGAGGCATAAGAACATCCTGTGTGAATGAATCAAGAGGTTAGATGTGTAATCATCAAACTTACGAAAATTCATAAAACTTCGTCTGTAGTAGGCTAAAACTGCACCGAAGAGGTCTACTGGGTAAATTAACAGCAAGAAACAGCCTATAAAGGAGCGTGGTGTATAATACACCCATATAACTCAAATGCTCACATCCCACTTTCTACAGCTGTACTAAGTTGTCTTTCTAATTATACTTGAACTGCCCTACTGGTAAGATGAAATCCTTTTAATATCGTATGAATTGTGGTCAAATATACCTTTAAAGAGGAAAAAAAAAACAATTTATACTTAGTAGGCAAATAGTAATAGTACAAAGCAAATACACGTTTCATATTGAAGACCACAAATCATTTCGACACCTTGTACTCTGTTGTAGGAGGAAAAGAATTTGCAAACCTAACCAAATATTCATTCGACCATGTAACCATAGCACACAAACCAAAAATGGAAAACCCATCAGCAGACGTTTAGGTGTGTATATTCACCACATTCAGTATGCTAAGTGATAGCGCTGGACGATCGTTGGGTGATGATATAACAGTTCAATTTAATCTTCCAATAAACAGTAACTAAGTGTTTTAGAAAGAGCAAACATTAATTCAAGAGAGTAAGATGCTGTAGGAAGCATTAAAAGACTGTTGTCTGCCAATGGCTGATTGGTTTTAATGTAAGTTTTCATAAATACATGAAAAAAATGGTTGGTAGGACAACGTAAAGGAATGCACATAAATCACACACACTTTACATTGAGAAGTATCCATAAATAATTTCAACACACATCTCTACAATAAAGTGGTAACTGTGAAAGTAAGATAGCTGTTAAGTAGCCTTTTCCCTGTAACTAAGACTATGACAAACTTGCTCAAATAAGATATACCAGGTTTTATTTTGGGTATTTAGTATTCCAGGAAAAGAAGCACTGATAGGTAAAGCTCGAATAAATCCTAGGTGCTGGCATAAGACAAGCTGAATTTGTATTTTTGGCAACAGAGTACTGACATCAGTTCAAACTTCTTAAGCCATCTGGTTCACGGAATTCGTCCACGGCATCCCTGCCGGTGTCAGCGAGGGCTCTGTACCTGCGGTGCTCACGGGGCTGCTCCAGACTGTGCTGCAAAGCAAGCTGAAAGCTGCGTGATCTGTAGAGTGCGTGGAAACGTGACCGGAACGGATGGCTACTTTCCAAACCAGCAGGAAAGACATGAGGCTGCAAGCCACAGACTTCCTTTTCACTCGGCATAGGTAAAAATGTCCAACCAGAACCGCACACATTAAATTTGTTAGAATCGGGATCAGGAAGTGTTGCACACTCATGATACATCACTCAAATCCTGCCTGAACGCAGAGCCAAAGCCCCATGGATGTCCTTTCCGCCTTAACTTTCCAAGTGTGCTCCAAGAGTCAAATACTCGTCCTTTTACGCTGAAGGACCACAGGGGACTTCGCGTAACTTTGACAGGAAAATGAGACCGACCTGCCATTCATTACGACTTCCACTGTAAATCACAAAGAAGCCAGGATTAAACTTAACAAGAATTGATCAAACTCTGCGTGCTTCCATTGTGCATGAAAAACCAGCCACCACACTGCTAAAAGACCTCCAGGTAAACCACGTACTGATAGAATATTACTTGTGCTGCTCACCTGCAACCCTTCATTCACTAAATGCTGCAGAGAGGAGTTTCTTTTGCTTAGAAACTGCTAGCAGATGTAAAGTGGGGACTATATACCTTCTGCATCCATTAGAACACAAAGACTCTCCGATTTACTAGCCACCGCAGATGAGCTCACAGGAGTGAAAGAGTGACAACTTAACCAATTCGGCTTCTTCTAATCAAAGGATTCCAGTACTTCTATACATCTGGATTTTTCAGGCCGCTATGCAGTTAAGAGTTTTTATTCTGTTGTGAAACAATCGCTCCTATCAGTACAGATGACCTAACTTAAACAGTCAAGAGACAGAATAACACACATAAAACACAATCAATCTACATACACTGAGTGATCAACCATTGTAGCACAATTCCGAAGGGGCAAAAGAAAATTAATAGAGAGAAAACTAATCTCTTTCAAGTCAATGGCAGACAAAAACACTGGAAATTTATCTGTCGATGGACTTGTTTAGAAATAAGTTTTAAAGTAAGATTTTACCAGATTTTAATTACTCCTCTGCATTATGCTGTAGTTTTTGTGATAGCTTTAAACACCAGAGCAGACGTTTTCTGAAATTTATAGAGCAAATAAATGCTCATTGCTATCTAAAATGAGTTAGGAAGCTAATAATCCGTCATGATGCAAGAACCAAATGTTTCCTATATGGTTTCTCTCCCAGATCTGCCACAATCAGCTAGAGCTAAAACTTCATTTAAAAAAAAAAAAAAAAAAGAGAGAGGTGAAGTTAGATTCCCCTCAAAATCACACGTACTTCTTGCATTCTCTGGTGTGTTACTACGTTCTTATCCATCTAATAAATTCCAGTTAAACATTTTCAGCCTAAAAAATTCCTCCTGTGGAATGGCAAGTCAATACTCTTCTCTGTATACAGACAGAGAGGTCATCCATAATTTTCACAGAAATATGAGATTAAAGCCAGCCTTTCTGTTGCCCCCTTTCTAAAATGAAAGCACATCATCAAGATAAACCAAGGCAACATCACAAAAGAAAGCTTCACTGCTACAACCACAGACTAGCGTGTGGAGTTTTCTCTCTTCTCCTCCATAATAGTCTACACTACTGTGACAATGATAAATGACCCAAAAAGACAGCATTTTATTATTATTATTCTTTCTACCATTTCATTTTCTGCGTTAGTCTCTTATTTCCAGGCTTACTGGAAAAGTTATTTACAAAGGGGGGGGTGTGAAGAAAATTGGAGTTCTAGAAGATACTTTTCTCTATTGCTGCACAAACTACAAGTCATTTTGACACATCACTATTTTTAAAATTAGGGTTTAGTTGCAGATTATTACATTGTGCTGTTTACACAACCAAGGCAAATTTATTTTGGGTTGTCACTACTATAAATGCAGATTTACTTATTTATGTTCTCAGCAGTAACACGTATCATTCCTGATCTCCCTGATGAAGAGAATTATCAGTAATCACCTCCAAGATGGAGTATTTTTCCAAATGCTTCAGGGAAGATTGATGGATCAACTTAAAGACAACTCAATTCAGCTTAATCCTCCTAAGTATTGATAACTGGTGAATAAAGTATTCTTGTTCCTTAGTTTACTCAGTAAATGCAATTCCATAATCACCTGGCAATTGCACACAAATTAAACACAATTTATATAAAAATTAAAGTTTTGAAAGACCCAGAAGGTACTCAGATGCTTTTCTAAGAGACTCATTTTTATCTTTCTTCTGTTCCGCCCAATCTGTTGCCATAAGTATTCCCTGCAGGGAACCTACTTCTTTGTAGCCCATGCGATCCCGCAGCATTGAGGTTCTGCTGCTGTAACTAATATGCTGTTACTAGCAGTTCCTCAGAGCATTTTACATTACCAAAAAGACAGTAATCCACAGAGAGAAAGCTGACTTATTTTCTCCTACACAGAACTGATCTAAGTAGCTGGCATTTCAAAAGGTTATTCTGTTTCTGAGCAGTCCAAGCGCTATGTTGACAGTGGCTTGAAAACGATCTGCTAGAAGTATCGTCTCCCAGATTTCTAATTCACATTCCCAATACTTTTGCTTTTCTATTCTATATTTTCCTTCCGTCCCATCATATTTCACAAAACACTGACCATCTCCCCCACTGCAGCTGACAGCAGAAAGCCTTCTGGTATGCTAATGCCATTTGAGGCAGGGGCGATAAGGACGCAGCAGCAATCACTCTCAGGACATTAACGGTGCCACAGACGATGTACAATAATTAGCATCAAATGGACATTAAAACCTTCAAGTCTGCCTCCGCAGGTAACATCAAATTTTAGGAAAGCAAAATAAGATGCGGTAAACCAGCCCTTGCTTCACAAATACTTTTCGTAGTCCAAGTGCCAGAAGATGTCATCGTTATCTCTGAGAATAATTAGTACATAAGACAGCTTGTTTCAACACCTCATGTGCCAAAGGCAAGACCTCTACGGATACAAACAGTTTTGCCAAGCTGCACTGCCAGTTTTTTGTGGGTGTTTTTTGGTTGTTTTTTTTAAGGGTGCAAATAGCTAGAGGCAGGACATGATTATTACTATGTAATATGCAATTAGAAAAAAAAATACTGCAGCAATTACAGCTTGGAGCCATTCCATGCATCGAGCCCTAAAATGTGAACAAAACCTGCTTCGCCTCAGAAATGACAGTGAAACAGTAACAAGAAGTTGACTTGCTCTGTACCTACTGACAAACAACATCAAGCGTAAAGGGATACCAAGTTCATCCCTCCACTGGATACCAAATGTATCCCTCCATTGGCCCAATTACCATGGCATTCGGGAATAAGCAGCTCAGATCACAGAGATTCAATTATTAAGTGCTTGACAAACAGCAGATTTAAGTATCCGTCAGAAGTAGATATTAATTTCAATAGTGGGAGCAAAAATCCCCAAACACCCTACGACAGAGATTACTTTCAAGGCTGATCAGCAGCGACAGAGTCTCTTGAATCCCTCTGCTCTATCAAGATGACAATAACATAACACAATAGTCACTGAAATACCTAGAGATGGGGATCAAGTAACTTCCTCTCCAGAAAATTAAACACACACGCACTAACCATTTACCAGACAGAATAAAATTAAAAACCTGTTTGAAATAAGAGTAATATTGTATATATAAAATATAAACTTAATTAGTAGTACTTTTTCAGATATGTCACATCAAGTATTTAAGAGGAAAAGTTAACAAGCATGCAAGACTGTCTTGCTCTCAAAAACCCTCAATCTCTCCTGTCTCTAATAATCCCTGTTAATCCTGAGTCCCTGGCAGTCATAAGGCATACTTTACATTTAATACTGGTTAGTCAGCTCAGGGACATCATTTGTGAACAGAAAAGGAAAGCAGCTTGGCTTTGACATCCTGCTGTGAGTCTGCTGGACAAGAAGTTATAAGAAGCGTCTTTATTTGGAAGCTGAGCAGTTCTGATCTGAAAGCTGGACACAAATGCAGGACTTCAGACAGCCCTTTTCAGGGTACAGCACTGATGCAGGCTAAAAGTTTAATAATGGGAATGAGTAACACTACTGGAAGTGGAAAAGATGATGAACAAATGCCTTACACTCCAGGGACAGGATAACTGACAAGATAAACAAAATAAACACGGATTTTTTAACTTAAGTGCATTCCATCCCATCCAATTTGTCAGGTAAGTTTATGCTTCTATTGGTGTAGGAGTTACATACTCCATCTGAACTGAAACAAGACTTCATGAATGATTTCAGTCATCTACGTTTGTAAGAAACTGTGAGCAGCGACACACAGTACGTTGGTGTTTTAAGTGCTCCTGGCTTGCCCGCACAGGGAAATCGGTGCTCAATAAGCAGCGACAGGGATTTGTAGCACAACAGCCACATCACACCCATGCACCACACTGAAACACTTGACAAACAAAAGACTGAAGGAGCTTGATTCACTTCAGGGCAGAGTAAGGCTACGCTGCACAAAGGCACTTCCAGAGTACACTTACTGTGTACACCATCCCCTCCCAGTGAATTAGTGGAGTGAGAATTCCGTAAGGGCACAGTCTAGTTTATTGTATACTCATTTCTGCACTAGAAAAACCCCTTTAGACAATTACAGCGACCACCTGGTCTAAGATCACATCTGAGGAATAGCATGTAAAAATTTCAATGTGTTATTTAAGACTTAAAACACAAGGTTTAAATCTCATTCCTTCTCATAGCTACATGGGACAAAATTCTTAGTCTGGTAGGTCATTCTATAAAGCACTTCCCTTCTCTTTTCTCAGGAGTCATGAACCACATTTTGAACTGCAGCAAAGCTGAACTGACCTGTTCTCTTCTTCAGTGAGCAAATAAGCCATATAAAGAAGATAGAGATGCCCATCTGAAACTGGCAACATACAAATGCAGCAGACATATACATATTTATTTAGGTGCAGCTTTGCTGAAGACAGAGCCATCTGCATCCCATTAATCGTGGCTGAATTTGATTCACAGATTAGATTGATTAGCTGGTTTCTTATTTGCTTCATACGAGTTCTCTACAGACATTAGGTATCAATTAGTCTGGATATTTAATTGGCAGAGGGATGCCAATCAGTGGCAGAGTGATTATCAGAGGAGAAAATAGTATTTTCATTGAAGTAATTGTATTCACATAGCACAAATCCTCAGAGACAGACCAGAGTCAAAAATCCAATTACCAAAAGGTACCTGCAGGGAAAGCAAACCCAATCTGCCAATTAAGTTAGCCAACAAGGATTTGTTGGCCGAAGAGTGTTCAGCACATGAGAAAAGGAAAAAGAGGCACATATGGCAGCAATGGTAGGACAGTGTATAATTGTGCAACAGTTTTGTTCTAGATGTATTTCTATCCCCATTCGGAACAGTTGCACACTACGTCTTTCTCCCAGGTACTTGTTTTGGTAACATATGACAACATCGTATGTCTCGGGTTTTATATGCTATAAGTACTTAGATGCATTTCATAAATACATCTTCATTTAAACTTCAGATAAACATATGCAAAGATGTGACTTTTTCAATCTTTATAGTTTACAAGGCAGCTAAATTAAATCCCTGGGACCCGTACTTAAGCCAATAAGGTAGTGGGCATGCAAGCAGGAATCTGAATTTATCACTTTTAGGCGTAACATAGTAGCTGACGCACTGCATCTATGCTTGTCAATTGAAGATTAAAGCAACAGCCAAACATTTCAAGGGGGAAAAAAACCCCACCACAAACAAAACCAAAAATTAAGACAAAACACCTGTTCAGGCACCAAACCCCACTGAATTCCCTGGAGATGTAAAGGTCACCCCATGAAAGATTTCCCAAGAACACATCCACTATGCTCTGTATGATTCTCCACATTTCTCTCATGCCTTCTATCAAATGATTGTCAAAGCTATTTATTATGCCTCACAACACCCCTGTGAGGTAAGTAAGTATCGTATACTGAGATAGAAAGGAAGCAATTTGTCCTTTGCTATGGCTGCATAGCAAACCAGAGGTAAAAATCTGGAACAGAACCCCAAAGGCCCAGTTCCTAATTATCTTATTCCATTACTGTCTTATTTATGGGATCATAAGGTGCATTTACCTAAGCAAATAAAAAGAGAACTGATGTACTGGAATGAAGGGAGGATAAGACAGGCTGTTACACAATGCTCAGATCAAACTTACCTTACCAGTGCATCTGGTTTGCTTAGCTGGTTATTAGGAATACAATTTTCCATTAAGTCCTTATGTGTGCTTGGGCTCTTGCTAGCACACTTCTGTTTTTTCTCATTTTTAGTAGATGAGGAAGGGATGCTCCCATTAGTCGCACTGTGACTGCGAGGTGAGGAGTTCACAACTCCGCTGACGTTTTTGTAATTTTTGGACGAGGCAGTGCATGAGTCCTCTTTTAAGAGGTTTTCTGTACTTCCTACAAGATCATTATTTAATCTTTTGCTATTGATATGGTTTTCCATATATTCAATTTCTTGTATTTTAGAGTCTACAGGTTGCAAAATGTTGTTATTTATTCCAAGGTTGTGTTTTTTAGCATCCTTGTCCTTTTCTTTCCCTTTTTCTCTATATTCTAGCTCTGGCAATGTTGCAGATAATTTTTTATTGGCTGGAATGCCTCCATTGTGCTGCAGAAGTATTGAGGAATCTATATCAGACAATCCTTTGGCTGCTGCAATACCAAAGTAAAAAAAAGAAACTTAGTTAATTAAATCGATCAATACTGTGACATAGAAAGAAAGATCATTAAGCACACATCAATCATATCTGCAGAAAACAATCATTATTAGAGTCTATTTAGAAAAGAAAATCAGAAGTCACATGACATTTTAAGACTTTTTCCTCATTACAGGCAGGAAACGGTAACCAAGGGATTTAATAATAAATACTAGTGCTTTATAGAGCACTGACTAATTAGATTGATGCAGTTGCTAATAAAGAACTGAACAGAGAGGACATAATTCATTTCTACTGTCATACTAACCACAGCCAAAATAATTTTATTTCTGGCTTTGCTGTTTCTAAGTTCACTGTACTTTCATCAAAACAACATAGACTAAAGAAGCTCCTCCTTAGCAGGTTGTTGGGTTTTTTTAAAAATAGCAGATAATAGCAAACACATTAAGTAATAAGTATAACTTGCCTTCCTCTGCCTCCCTCTCTTGCCTTTGTAGCATCTGCTGCTCTGGGGGCAGAGCTTGCTGGAGAAGCTGCATGTAGAACTCATTCTCTTTCTGCACTTCTTTTTGTTTTCTTAAACGCATTTTGTAGCTGACGTAACTTTTAAAGCCAAAGCCCAAAGTCACAACAGGGTAGCCAATACTAAGAAAAAAAGCAACATTATTATTAAAAATATAACCATAATAGCAAACTAATAAATTGTAATAAATTATATAGCTGTGAATACATCTGGATAACAACCTTTCATAGAAAACTATATATAATTTTTTTTTTGCTGTACTACAATAAAACTACAGTTCAAAAATGTAGGCACCTCTTTATCAAGATAAAATTGCAGTTCATTACAGTCAGCAATTAACTGTAGCATAGATTAAAAGATTACAACAATGCAATCGCACTACATAGCAAAGACAAGCACCAGACTAGGAATTATGCATCTTTTAAGGAGGTAACAGCCATACACAGCAGAAGTTCCCAAGTTTTGTTCCTAAAGGGCCATGTAATACAAAGGACATTAAACTGGGAGATGTGTAAACAACGTTCATCCAGAACTGTGAAAGGAGAAACTGATCCTTAGCCCCACCCTTTCGCACTCAGAAATTAAGAGCAGATCCCTTCTCCATCACTCTTTAAACCTGAGACAAAACAATGGTTCTCCAAAACATCGTCTCTGCAACAGGCCCTGCGATATTTTCTCACTGCAGCACAGGCTGAGAAACAAGAGCTGGAGAAGCCGCTGGAACATACAGCTTTGGGGCTCCTGCATTCCCGGGGGGACCGAGGCTGTGAGCCAAAGTGCTGCCACCCACACCTGGTACGGCTAGAGCCGACCCTGGAGGTAAAGCCTGAAAAACCACCTGCCTCTGTTGAAGATGGCCACAATTAAGACATCTTTTGTGGGCAACAAACAGCCTTTCGAAATTCTAGGAGACTGACCTTGAAGCTGTAAGCAAAAAACACCCAACCTCTAAACTTAGTTCTTCCACTTATCTTACTGACAGATAAGATATGAAGAATTTCACTTCCAGCCAGACTCTGCTGTTCCATTTGTTGGCGAAGATGATAGAAGCGTAACAGAACTTTGGAATTATTTTTGTATGTCAGCTTCACCACGCAGAATTTAAGTATTCTTATTAGCCTGTGACAACTGCACCAACACAGAACGCTAACAAATCATGCTAGTGCAGTTATTAACAAGGACACTCGATCAATGAACAATCATCCCTCTACAAAAATAAATAGATCTTTGACAAGTATTTAACAAAGCACAGTGAAGCTGCATCTTAAACATCGAAGGTGTCCTAAATCAGGGGAAAACTCTGATGCAGATGACTATTAACCATTAAACTCTTCTAATTCTTTGCTCAGTAATAGCACTGTGGAAATTGCATTTCTAAGTAAGCTGCCAGAATGCAAGAATCATTTGCATATGCATCTGACATTATCTCTGCCAATGCTTCTTTTGTAACACTGTGTAAAGGCAGCTGTAGCTAGAGTTCTAAAACTCTGATGACAAGCTGAAATGTTTGCATCCAATTCAGCAGCAGAAAGACCTTTCCTCACAGCTTCTAACGTGCTTTTGTAACCTATTATAGAATTTAATTAGTGTTTAAGGGATTTATTGCACAATGTAGACAATCTAAATTAAAATGACAGATGTCTAATTCATTGGAGACTATGTCACAGGGAACTGGACCAAATGATGCCAGGAACAGGACCCATTTTAAATGTAGCCTGATCAATGCATACTAGAATAAAAACTTGTGGAATAAAAGTGCATTGCTTCCAGATGGATACTCTGCAGTTAACTCTTTTGCCTGAAGTCACTCTTACCACTTCCAAAGAAGCAGTGTAGTAAGTAGTGTTTGGTTTTTATTTTCTGTTATGATTTTCAATCTGAAGCTTATTCACTTCCTCTAGTGAATTATGAAATCACTCATGAGAACCCTTCTTGTTGGAGGGGAAAAAAAAGAGTGCTTTATTATAGAAGAAAAGAAAATTTTCATAACAGGATACATAAATTATCAGTGAATTTTTTTTTTTTTGCTACTTTTACCATCTCTTCATCATGTATATACAAAATTTGTAAACTGATGACAAGAACTTCCAAGAAATTCTAGGAATATCCATGCTACAAATCCCCTACAGCTCACAAGCTCTGTACCTTCAGGAAGGTTGCACTTGGTTAACATTTAGCATATATTTCTCGTGGAATATTTAATGACAGATGTGTGAGGGGAGAACCGAACAGGCAAACCCCGAACCAAAATAAAAAGCCCCAAATATTAATTTCCCTGGTGAAATAAAGCACTTACCAGTGTGCTGCAAATGGACGACAAAGGTCTACATGGAAGTTTTTTAAATCTTTAAATCTAATGGCTGCTTCAATATAAACAAAAAGTATCCACAATGATACTGTTGGTAAGCACACACCCCTCTCTATTGAGAGAAGAGAAAGAGAGAAACATCTTAGTAATATAAGCAGCAAATATTTTAAAGTTATTTTTAAAACATTCCAAAAGTCAAGGGAAATTTTCAGACAGACATATAGAGAATTGTAAGAGGGTTTTTTTCAGAATAAGTATCTAGGATGTCTTTATTTTAAATCAACTCTAAACTTCTGTCTCCTTATCTTGCTTTATTACTTTTATAAGGCATCAGTGAAAAATAACAGATGCACAGCTAATGAAATAGCTTGGCACAAAACCCTATACCGAAAAGGAACACAAATGGAAGAAACTGCAGAAGATGAGGTAATGTTACAGCGTATGATCTTTGAGTCAGAAGTGGTAAGCTTGGACTACTTTTTCTCTCCAAGTTAGGTATATCTTAGTAGCAGCAGTGAGCAAATCAGCTGAGAAAACAGGAGCGAGTAAGCACAGTACTGTTTACTCCATATACAGTAACGCAGACAACAGTCTGCGACTCAGAACTCCACATCAGGGGAACATTCAGGACGCTGTATTGATTTCTCTCTCCAGCATTACTGGTGAGAATGTAAAATAGTAGCCAAGCAAAACTGAGGTTTCAATCCTCTTGGCCAATGGCAAACACCACTGTTGCCTGCAATATAGCCACTGTAAATTTCCACACATCAATTCCAGTTACGTGCCACAAGCTTCACAAAAATAAGCAAAGTTCTTGATTACATACTGACATCAACATATTGTGCGCTGATTTGGAAACAGGTCTCAAATATGAAACTAAAAAGAGCATTACTCTGAGACCCTGATGTTATTTACTGTGGTCTCTACTTTGGTCTCTCTTGAATAGCTGCACTCTGCATAAATGAGAAACCCATAGCAGAAACTGTCAGCTTAAAGGGACTCAACATTTTAGCTAGGTAGACACACCACCTAAAAATATCATAACTTCAAAAAAAAAAAAAAAAGGCAAATTCCCATCAACTTGGATGTGCATTTAAAAACAAGAATCCCTAAGGCTGCAGTGAATTAAAATATTAAACAAGCTCAATAGCTACATTTAAAACTGGCCCATCAGATTTTTTTCTTTAGGGTTTCTAAACATCAACCCTAAGAACAACTTCAGATAACACTTTAACATCTTAATACAATCCTAAAAATAACTCCAGATTTTTTAGGTATTTTAAATTGGACAGCAACTGGTTCACTGTATCTTCCATTAGCTCCCACACTGTCATTATTACAAATGACTAACTTGTCAGAAAGATGACTGCTTTCACCAGTAAGCTGAGAAGTGATCCACGCTATTCTGCAAATTCTTGTGATCTAATGGCAAGTCTAACACAAAATATTACAAAAGACCCAAATCCTAAGGACTTGGATAGGGAAGAGTTACCTCCCCCCCGCCAAAAAATTTGAAGTTTTATTCCTAAAATTTTCTGAACAAGGGAAAGACATATATGTAACCCATGCCAAGTATTAGTGCTCATGAAAACTAAACCACCTCCCCACAATTCAACTACTGCCCCAAAACCCTAGAACCTAAGAATTTATTAAAAAAACTCCAAACAACTAAAGATGAAAAAAAAAAGGGGCGCGGGATGGGGCAGGCAGAAAAATTTTCTCCATACATGTCTCAAACTGTTGGGGCAGCCACTGGTATTACCAGCCTTTTTGCTCAGAAACTGAATCCAGTTGACACAAAGATTTCACTAATACGAATTTAAACTATGATACTACACAAAATTAACAACACACTAATCGAGTAGTAGGAAGAGCTTGAAGAGCGTAACGCCTTCACAAACTTTTCATCTGTGCTCTCTATTTGTTGAATTGCTGCAGAAGTGTTTTGAAGTCAGGAAAATCTTGTTTTTTTTACTGCTCTGGAATTCCTGCTTATACACCTTCAGTTCCATCGGTCAAGCTTTAATGATGACTACAAGATGCACCCAGACATGTATCAAGTGCAAATCAGCATACTAACAAAAGCAAAAAAATAGTTTTTAACTATAACAAAAGTGCATTAAAACAAATGTGGTAACAAATAGAAGAGGGTTTCTGCATGTTATTAAAAGCTGTAAGATATATATTCAAATCAGTAAGTTGTAAATACAGAATAGTGACCTACCTGTGTGCCAGACATACTGTACCCAAACATACGTGCTGGCAGCAAAAAACAGCCATTGTATTGGTATGAAGAGCAGACATATTATATTTGATGTGAATGCTACACAAACAAAAAATACTGAAAAGGCCTAAAAGAAAGGAGGGGTGGGGAGAAAGAAGAGTGTTTTGGTTTATTCCAGAAAATATATCAGTTTCTGTATTAAAGGTGACACCACAATGATTTCAACATAGAAACAGTGGAGTTGTCTATAATCAGGGCAAAGAAACGGAGCAGTCTAGCCAATGAAAGTAGAAACTTAACCAATTAAGAGAGAACGGGTACAACTTGAGAATATGTGCCCATCCACTCTTCCAACAAGTCTCCAAACAGCTATATTTATTCCTTATTATTTTGTTTGAAGACTTTAATTTACACTGTTGATAAAGTATTATCATTACTATATTATGCTTCTGAAAAAAAAAAACCCCGAACAACCAGCAGCATCATTTACTCTCTGAAGTAGTAAATATCTAAACAGGCAAGGGTTTCCATTTTATTTTAAAGAAAACCCTGTTATTTAAGGATCTAAACCAATTCACTAATCTCATGAATTCAAACAATATTTTCCTATGGTGAACATTTGCTAGCTATGTATTTCACTTCCACTTGCCACAGATAAAACAGGCAGTCAGAGAGAAAAGACTTGAGCCCAGGTCACCTAGTCACTTGAAAATGCCTCCTCTTGTGAAAATGATCATCAGCACCATTAGGTTGGTTGTATAACATGGAATATGCCCTGAAACATTGCAGGATTTCTCGACAAAGGAACAGTAATTTTGTGTTATACTTACCAAACCCTGGTATCTGAAGGAATCGTAAACACTCCTGATGAAGAGCCAGAATGGCCACAGATACTCAAATCTGAACTCCAGGACAAAATCTGCCAATAGTACTAGGGCCCACACTACCAGGAACTTGAGATACAGAAAAGTACTGTAAGGGAAAAAAAAAAAAAAAAAAAGAAATGTAAACTCAGATCAGTATTTCCAAGAGAGACTTACCTTTTTTATTTTTTAATTAAAAGTTCAGGTATAAAAACTATAGACAACTATAATACAGGTAAGAAAACTCCATCCAAAATAATTTTACAAAATAGGTAGTTTTATTATTACATTAAAATCAGGCCTGATCTAATGAGTTAATTACATGAAACTGCATTTATTTTTAAAGTAGCAAAGAAACAGAAGGCTCGCTGCTCTTCTAACACCGGGCAACAACCTCCCTTTAGCTTTGCAGTGTATTTTTATAAAGTGAAGTCTTGCCAACAGGTACGCTGCCACAGCTGAAATGCTTCTCTTCTACTTGGAACTCGGAAATTTCTGTGTTCCCTCTCCTCGCCAGACTGCAGATGTTCACTCATTTTCCACATTTAACACAGACAAACTGCAACACCAATAAATTGAGATGTATTTTAAGCCTATAACTACAGCAATTAGGAAGACTGTTTTGATACTGAGTTATCAGGGTTATGTTTGAAAACATCCACATTAAAGTAAATGCAACCATTTTAAATAAAAAAACAAAAAAACCCTCATCAACAGAAAAATGGAGGCACAGAAGACTTGAGACCAGACAATCTAACTTCAACTTTTTTTAATACTTCAAAGTCACGTTCTCCTATCCTTAATCCTGCTTTTTGAACCATTGATCCTTGGCCACAGAGCTCAAAATATTTTGAGATCATACGTAACACACACAGGAGCATTTGAGGGATCAGCCCATTTCATCCTGCTAAAGAGGAGGAAGCAAAAACCCTTTTCCTCCAAAACCCACCACCCACAGATCTACTATCTTACTCCAGTTCCAAAATGCAACTACCTTGTTGCACTGTATTGGGCTATAACAAAGGTGGGTTTTTAAAAATATGCTGTTATTTTTTAAATCACGGGCAACTTTTCCTTTTAGTAATTTATTTTTCCTCTTCTATCATACTGCCAACAAAACCAGAAGAACTTTGCCCTGGAATGTTTACTGATAAATTGCCAAGAGTTTGCATACACAGTGCCAGGTAGGGTCAGGTTTCTGCACTGTTCATGAACATGTGGCTTTTTTAGGAAGTTGTTCAGAGCTTGAGAGAAAATACAAAATAGAAAACGTCTCTGAAAAGCGTTAGGTACCAGCAGAGGTTTAGAAGAAACCTATCACTCTATCCACACAACCCACTATCACTCACGTTACTTGTCACACAGGGTCAGCTTCCAAACCACACGACTGGGAAAACACTTCGATTTCTCGGGAATCAAAGATTAATTGCATGTGCCTGAAAGTGACCCTTATCAAGGGTCCTGGCCCTCCAGCTTCACCCCATGGAGGAGTTTTTGCTTAGCTCTTCTCACTTACTGTATGGTATCGAGCTCTCCCCTAAAAGCCCAATTCCAACGTTTTCACTGTGACTAGACCTCCTGAAAGGAACTGCTTTCATAAATGCTCTTGAATGTACTCACATGCACATGCTTTAAATCAGCACAAACTAAAGAAAGGCTTCATAGAAAATACATTTTTGAAGTCTGAAACAAATAAGCAACTACTCCTACATTTAAGATACCTTGGCCTCCCCCCACCCACCTTTTTGAATATTCTGTATTTGGAATTTAATGTAATGGTACTGAAAAAAAAAAAAGAAAATAAAGAGGCTACAGGAAGCACTTTAATGGAAACAAAATTAACGACATACTTGGAAAAATTAAGGTACTGTTTTTTTCAGTTTTTACAGAACCATCCCCAGCCACTTAGTCAAAAACTACTCTTGGAGAAAAATGAAACCACAGCATAAGTATTAAAAAAAAAAATCCACAACAAAAAAACAAACAAAATCCACCAAAAAACCTTAAATGGACACATTTGTCCCAGCAAATTATGTTTGCATATGCTGCTGTTGTCTCTTTAGAGTTTAAATCTTCAACAGAAAACTGTAAAAAGCAGCTGCATTCAGAGAATAGACATAAAAGGTGACAGACATTGGGGTACACAATCACTGCTGTGTTCGTTTTGATCCTGCTGTTAAACTGTACATGTGCAACTCTTAAGATTTGAGAAAGTATACAAAGGCATCACACCTAGGTGATCATTATTCTGTCTGTTTAGCTGGAATAGCAGTTGTGTTGTGTAGGCACTTTTCCCTGGGTTAAAGTTATGGCTATTGTTTATTTTTCTGTCACTGAAATCCATAAAGAGACTACATTTTTCCTTGCAAATTAGGGTTATCAGAACTAATGCTTTTCAACTGTTAAGTGCCACTCTAAGTTAAAACATTTGCTGAGTAAGAGTTCTGTAATACCGCCATTAAAGTGATTTCTAATATTAAATTCATATCAATCTGAAGGCCATGGTGACATTTACCACCTTTTAAAGTGGAATTGTAACAATACAACATTTGTAATAAGGTTTTCCCAACAATATTAAAGAGCCTACTTCTCAGTCATTGAAGGACACAAAAGCAATTAAGAATTTAATGAGTACAAGAGTAAGACAGAAGAAAGTTATTTCCTTTTATAAAAGACTTCATCCACTATGTTGACCTCAGCAACAAAGTTCACTGTTGTGTAATGTATTCTACGTATGTATTCAACTGCATGAGTCCACTTAGAGAAAACATTTTAAAGGTACTATACGCCATCAATTGGTTTGGGGTTTTTTTGGGGTTTTTTTTGGTTTTTTTAACATCAGGACCCCCTGCCCCCACCCCCCCCCAATTAAAGCATGCAGGACTGCAGAGTCAGAGACTGCAGTCCATAACTAACCACTCCACACCCCAGCTTTAAAAAAATCAGTATTGGTAGCAGTCTAGAAGCATCAGCTCCCTCCTCAAAACGGGCCAGTTTTACAAACCGTGCCGAGCTTCCATGCTGCCACAGTTACATACACAGCTGGGTTACAACCAGCTCGGGTGTCTTTGCAGCACGCTGCAGTCTGCAGATGGCATCGAGTCTTTGTAGGTGGAAGAAAGGAACACAAATCTTCCATAAAGATATGCTGCACACCGAGATTTGCTGTTCCCCCCAGTGATGAACACAGTTCATCAGTTAATTTACAAGTGAACAGGCACCTCTTCAGTGAGCACTAGTGACAGCTGAAAAATGTCCAGTAAGAATTAAACCCCAAAGCAAAACAGGCTCACGGACCTCTCGTTTGGACAGGTTAATCACTCTTCTGCTGTTTTGTTTCATACGACAGAGCTTTCAAATCAGATCACATGAATGAAATGACTAACAAATTTAGCTATTGCCCTCCTCCCTTTCTCTGCTTTGTACTAGCCCCTTTTACTTCATCTTTGCTCTTCGATGC